TCCCTGAGAAGATTGTCTTCTTTCTCTCTCTGACGAGAGCAGCAAAAAGTGTCCATATGTGCCAAGAAGGCAACGTAGGAGACAGGACACCCAGCCTTTCCCAGCCCAGTCAGGTATAGATCTATTAGAAGAGGCTTGAGAAAGAGGAGGAGCAATACTGACCAATGATATGGTACTGTTGTGTACCCAGCACCTGTGCCCTGAGAAACTATTCTAGGAGCCATAACCTTATTTCACCCACACACTATCAGACAGGACCAATTTCAGACATTTCACCGAGGTCACCAAAACAAGACATTCTCCGCTAAGCACTGAACGGTTCCACACTAGAAATTTCAAATTTCAAGCAAGAAACATTCCAAGTAAGCTTGAGAGGAGAAAGAAAAGTTCCTAGTCAAAAATCCCTCTGATTAAGTGGTCTTGACCCAATCTTCATTCTATCTGTCTTTACCTCTTTTTGTCACTCTCTCATTCTTTCTCTACCTTCTCTGACATTAGCCTCTTGTTATGTTATAGCTACTTTATCCAGCTGTTCATTAATTCCAACTTCCAGGTATATATAGGGGTATATAGGGGCAGCATGTCCTTTGCTCTTCTTCTATACCCACTTTACCACCACCACCTTGAAGTTCATGGAAGCAAACCCCACTTACAGCCCCTCCTCCGTTGCAGCCCACTGCTGTCGCTGCTGTGTGGAATCCAGATCTTCTGTAACCTTGTTTGGGTGAGCTCTTCCATCTCTCGAGACATCTTAGATGTCACAGCTAATGACACCACTGTCCACAAGGTACCGGGCCTCACTTCCTGTCCTGCTAACTGTCTCTTCTGTTGCTGTGGCCACAGCAGTAGGTGGACAGCGTTGGGACAGGGAAGTGAGCTGAGCCCTCTGGCAGCCTGTCTCCAGCCTCCTCTCCTTTTTCCTAGTCCTTGCCTGCCTTTGGTCCTGTATGTAGCAGTGGGGACTTGGGTGCAGAGAGGGAGAGGTTGGGTAGAGGTCAGTAGAGGCCTTTGAACTCCAAGAGCTGTGTACATAGGAGATAAGTTCCTTCCAGCAAAGGAGGGCGGCCAGCAAGACAGCCCAGGTCGGGCCAGTCACCTCCCTCCAATGAAGACAGGACTAGTAGAGTATGCAAATAAAAGACCAAAGATCATGTGCTTACATCCTGTGCAAGGTGGGGAGGCAAAGGTGATGGAGGCAGGTCTCAACAGCTTTCACAGCTTTGAAATAAAATACAGGCCCAAGTAGAATGTCAAGGTTCAACCCGGAAACAGAGATCCACATCAGAAATGCAAGGTTCCCAAGTACGAACACACACAGTCCCTACTGACGAATGCAATGTTTTGATCTAGCAATCAAAGGTCCAAACTGGAAGTGGAAGGTTCACTGCCTTACTGCCCCACCCTCTCATACAAAATGGCATTGCAACACTTGTGTTCCCCTCAATTCTGCTGACTTTCCTGTGGCAGAGCCTCTCCTCCTAAAATGTGCTGTCTGGGACAGTCTTGGAGAGATGGGCACTATCTAATCATCTTTATGCTCTCTCCAGCCAAGGCTAAATATATAGGAGTAAACCTGACACTTCTGGGAATAGGAATGAATGCAGCCATTGCTGGGTGAGAGATGGCAAGCACTGCCCACATGGCTGCCAGCAGCCATCGGGTGCCCTAGGGAGAAAGGCAATGTGATCTGATTCAAAACCTGGCAAAAGTTCCTCGTGCCAACCCATAGGCATGGAGGTTTAGGGTGCAGTCTGCAGCAGGCTGAGTGTGGGCAATAGGGAGCAATGAACTCAAAGTAGGACATCCCACGCAGATGTCTCCACTTTACCCTCCATCTCCCCCTGGTTGTAGTGAGGCTTTTATGTGTAGAATTCATCTAAAGGCGCAGCTTACCTGGAAGGTGTCCAAGTGTGCTCTTACTTCATTATTTTGCAACCTTCCCACCCCCTGATGAACCTCTTGTGATTGGCTACAAGGAAGCTCAACTTTCTTCCACTCAGCTGGGCTATACAGGGGCAATCTCCTGGGAATAGAAATCTCCAACCCCTGCCCTCCAGCCCCTGCTCTTAGCTCCACTTTGCCTTTTAAGAAATTCCCTGAAGTACATTCTCAGTGTCCTACTCTACACAAGGGTTAGATCCCCTCCAGTTGCTGTTTATAAATCATAAACTTTCAATACATTTCAGAGCCTGCCCATGTGAATGGATCTACTGAAGCAGTGGATCACAGTGGTGAAGAGCAACAGGCTCTTGGAGCCATACTAGCCGAGTGGACTCCCACCTCTGCCCCTTGTCGTGAGACCCAAGGCAGAAGGCAACTTCTCAATGCTTCAGTTTTTTCATCTGGTAAGATTCAGCATGTTAATACATGTAAAGCAACCTGGGAAATGCTCGATATATATCACCTAACACTGTGTGATTCATTTTGTGAAGTAAATGATCAGTCATGTCTTTGGCAAATGTAATGCTGAGCAAACAGGAAATACTTGATAAAGGAAATTTATAACATTAAGACAAAGGGTTAACATTTATAATAAATAAAGAGCTCCTGCCAACCAACTAGAAAGATGAATTCACTTTCACTTTTTTGGTTTTGTGAAGTCCCCTAGAAATTGTTTCATCCAACCCTCCGAGGTAAGAAACTGGAGGCCTAGAGAAGGAAGTATTTTCCTAAGGTCCTGTAGCAAATAAGTCAGGAGTAGGACACTGGGTACCATATTTCTCCCAGTCCAGGGCTTTTCATTGGTTAATTGATCAATCTAGCTTGATTTAAGAATGTGTTCTTCCACATTAGCTTAGAACCTTTAGACTCTCATAACTAGATTTTGAAAGATATGTAACTCTCTTAATCCTAAAAAGTCTCTTAATAAATATCACTCCGCTAATGCTAATAATCTTAATAACTTTTTACATGTATGTTTTCCATGGCCCACAAAGCAGCAACATATTCCTCATCCTAGTTTCTCCTTACAAACTCACTAGCCTCAGGGACACTGAGGTCTAGGGAGGGGAAGGGGCTTGTCCAAGGTAATTGAGCCAGTAACATGAGCCTTCTTCTGTTTATAATTTTGTCCTCATGATCCTGCCAAGAGGCAGAAAGATAATTTTAGCAGTAGGAAATCTGATATAGGAGACTATCGGGCTTTTGGCAAGGTCTGAAATGGTAAACCTAGGGTCCAATCTTGAAAACCCAGCTTAAAATGGCCTGGAATTAGCTATTAATTTATTTTTACCACTGTTATCAATTCTGGTCCCAGAAGCAGGAGAATTAAACAAGCTTCATGGAAAGGCCTCAGCCTGGATCTTGTCAATCAAGTCCTAACCCACCTCTCTAGTCATGCATCTCTTTAGCCCCCTCCCCATGCTTAAACTGCACTGGCTGACTCACTGAGCCCCCAAACATACCATGTACTTTTTTTTTATTCTCTCAGTCTTTGCTTAGCCTGGAATGCCTTCTCTTCCCTTCCATTCTCAACAAAATACAACTCACTCTTCAAGGCCTGGTTCAATGTTTGCCTCCTTGGGAAGCCTTCCCTGTATCCTCAGGGCAGATTTTGTCTTTGGTTATCATATTAACTATATGCTTCTGTCTATCTGAGCAAATATCCACCTGTATTTTTACTGGTCTGCTTCCTTACTAGACTGTGAGATCCATGAAAATGGGAACGGGATCTCAGCTATCTGTAATCTGTGTTTCCAGTGTCCAGCTAAGGCCTTGGCACAGAGGAGACTATTGCTCAATGAGTGTTTGTACAATCTACATCTCTTTGCCCTAGATGAGATGAATATGTGGACAAATAATCCCCATTCAAACAAGGAAAATGTTATACAGAGAGCTATGCAGGGTCCTGGGTGGAGGAACTAACTTGGTCTGAAGATAGAAAGTGGCATCTGGAAAGTTTATCAACCTTGTATGGGGCAGAACAGAATACATAAAAGAAGGAAGTCCTCCGTGAACAGGTCGAATTAACTGGTTAAAGAAGTGTTCACTCAATATCAGAGACTTGCTCAAGACCAAAAGCTGAGCCACAAATTCTAAAATGGGGTTAATTCTGGGGAAGAAAAGAACACAGTGCGACTTCCTGAGGCCCACCGATCCCAATCATCCTTCCAAAGTATGAGGTATGTTAGAGAAGTCCATTAAAAGCAGTATCAAGAGAGGACGGATGGGTAACAAAATCACCAATGGGGTTTTCCTATTGGTAATTCTTGAAGCGTGTGGGTGTGAATGCATTTGTGGGAGGTTAGGGTGCAGAGGGGAGATTGGCCACATGCTTACAGGTCAGGTGCCTATATATAAGTATCAGGTCTTCTGAGGCGGCAGTCTAGGATCGTCTTCTTTCTCAGCTACTGCCTTGGCCCACCATCTCCCACTATTTTCAGCCCCATGTGTTGGGTCCAAGGCTCACTGCATCCTAGTTCTAGGAGTGGCTCTTCACAAACCACAGTCACGCAGAGAGAAGAGCAGAAAGAGGGTTGTGAGTTGTATTGCCTGCCAAGACTGCAGAAAAAGCAGGATCACTAATGTCACATAGAGTATAGAAGTGCTGAAATATCTCTAAAGAGCTCTGGTTCCTGTCCTTCCACTCCTCTTCACCTAGAGACAGTCCTCTGAGAAAACTTCAATTTCCATTTTAGTTGAGGAGGCTATTGAAGCCCAGAGAAGCTAAAAGGCTTGTCCCAAGTGTCAGAGCAAGCCAGCCCTACCTCATACACTGGGGGAAGTAAAAGACATAATCTCTATCACCCAGTTCATTCAAAACTGAAGTAGACCAAGTCAGAGAGACTTTTTGGGCCAGGGTCCCACAAACACAGATCAGAAGGATGACAGATAGATAAATAGATAGATCTATAAATAGATACAGCTATCATCTTTTCCCCAACTCTCCCACACCCTTTAATGCACATTTCAAGTGGCCACCTACGCAAATAAAAAAAACCTTTCCAGACAGCCTAAAGAACGGATTTGGATTTGTGTAACTCCTTTTTCCTTTCACCTACCTGTTCTCTTAGAGGTTTTTTCTTCCATTGGTAACTATCCGACACGCAGTCCTCTTCTATTTAGACCCCCCAAACAGGTCCAGTGGGTGGCGTCAAAGAGGGAGCCTGGAGCTTTCCGTTGGTTCCCTGGGAAGGCTGGGGAAGTACCCTTGGTAAGAGGGGTGTGTGTGCGCTCTGTTGAAATATCAGCTGTTGTAGTTGCCAAAGAAGTTCCCGAGCCACCCAGAGCCTTTTCTCTTCAAGCTAACCATGTGTTCACCTTGCCCCAAAGGTCAGAACTAATATTAACAAGCCACTGCAGAATGGGAAAATTAAAACCAGCAACTGAGACAGGCAAGATCTGTATGCATTTCCTTGGGGCTAAATTTCAGATTGTTCTTCAGTGTAAGTAGGCACGATCCTTTACTGGAAAGTAATTTGGCAATATAAAGCAAGAGCAATAAAAAGGTTCATTTCCTTTGTCCTCATTATCCCACTCCTGGGATTTAATCCTGAACCAATAACCACCAAAGCATGAAAAAGTTCAAAACAGCACATATTTAATTTTAATTGCAGAGCTGTTTTCTGATGGCAACAACTGGAAGGTAACCTTTAAGTCCTCCAGTAGGAAAAGCAACTCTTTGAGTCTGCAGATATTAAGGATGATTAATCTAAGGCT